CAGGGCGGGGTGCCCGGGGGAGGGCCTTCCCTGCCACGTGGCAGCTAACATGTGGCGCTCTACTAGCAGGTATTTGCTGGGGGCCCAGAGAAAGGAGCAGCTCTCCTCCTGCCCTGGTACCCACTGCTCCTTGATGCTGAGGAGGAACTTGCCAGCCCGTGCCCTCCTTCATGGCGTGTTTCACAACAACCCATTCTGCATCTGGGGACCTGCTCTGCACTTTGCATGGAAGATAACAGATTCACTGGCTTATCACCTCCTCTACTTCCTTTGTATTCTTCAGAGCAAAAAGTACCACAGGTTGGCAAGGTCCTCCCTGAAAGGGTGAGAGGGACACCCTGTAAGCAGCATCTTCCCTCCTAGGCATCTGCTCAAGGGCCTCCACCTTTGAGGGCTCACCTTTTGAAGGTCTCAAGAAATGAAAGATTAAATTCTGCTATTCACAATCCAATTCAGAGTGGTCCAGTGGTAATGGGGTGCACATGGCAGCAGGTCCCAGCTACTCTATGTTGGACTACTAGAGGAAGAGACCTCTGGGCTACATTTGCCCCCTGCTCAGAAAAGCCAGGAAATAGCAGAAGGGAATCTCTCATAGGCTGCAGCCACCCTACAACCACCAGGCAGTCAGCAGAGATCTCATCCACAATGTCTTTATCTTCTTTTACCAATCTTAAAGATTTGGTCAGGATTGATTCTGAACTACAGTGTGGCTGGACACCACCAAAGCAGACAATGCTACCAAGAAGAACAAGACATACAGAGGTACTGGTATCACAACAGTGCTCAGATGTTTCCAGACACCCGGATCATAACAGACATCTGGTCCACACATGCTGCTACCAGTTCCTGGTTCAACATGACATCCATGTTCCCCCTGCTGCCAGGAGCAAAATACCTGGCTCTGGAGCTACAACTGTGTCTGCCAAACATACCCTCTGCGAGCAGAGAAGCCTTTGCACACCCTGCCTCCTCCTACCCTGTCAGAATTTCCAATGACTCCCAGAGTGAGGTACACTGGTTCTCCACTCCCACCATACAGCATACACTGCACAGAGTTGATTGCAAGACAACATGGATGTTAGTAACCAGCAGATATGGATCACAGGTCTGCTCTGGCAGATTAATTGGCCTATCATTATGATTGACTGAGTGTACAAAAACATACTGTGGTGTAAAGATGACACACTTTCGTACAATCAATAAAGAGAAAAAGTGCATCTTAAAATGTGGAGCCTTGCTCTTGAAACTCAGCATCCTGTCTGGAGTTTTGTGAGAACTTTAAGGCAGAGTTTCCTTTAGCAGACCACAATGCTGAAGACTTGGACAGCTTTCTCAGTGAGGTATCCAAACAAAGCCCTGTAACTGAGGCTTTGTAGGTTCTTGAGGGTCCATTTTCAGCTGGACATATGCAATGGCTGTTAAGTAAAGGCACTCTAGTGTACAGCCTTAGGCAGTGTGTTATTGGCAGTAGGAGTAAGTTTAGTACATCACAGCAGATCCTATAGCAGGTTCCTAGAACAGAAAGGGACAGGAAAGATTAAAAATGAGTAAACCACAAAACAAGCCTGAAGATTCTACAGAGCCAGGTCCTTCCCCTTCTCACCTCCCCACCTATTTTCCACATATGTAGTGGCAGACTGCTTCGCGACTGACAGCTTTTTTCCTTATCCCTCTTTTCCTTATTCTTTTTTCCTTATCCCTCTTTTCCTTATTCTTTTTTCCTTATCCCTCTTTTCCTTATTCTTTTTTCCTTATTTCCTTTATCCACCTGGCTGCTGTAAAAGAAATGATTGACAGCTGCCAGTGAACCCAGTTTAAAGCCCCGCAGAGCCAATGTGTGGCGTATCCACCTCTTGAATTCCACTTTGGCAACCTTTGAACATTCCTCAAACATTGCTGAGATTCAAGGTGACTCTCACCTGCTGAGTTACAGTGTGCAGCTGGTTCTGTAAGGGCCTGGGTCAGGTTTAACTTGCAGGGGACCACCCATTGATTTGATTTGATATGATTTTTAATCATATCAAATAAGGGTAGCACATTCCTGGAGACCTGGTAGCCAGGGTACATTCACACAAGCTGACATTTAGGAGCTGCTCGACTATGGTATATAATCAGACTCTGGTTGTATTTGTTCAGAGCTTCCTCAATGGTCTCTATTCTTCCTCAAACTATTAAGAGAGGTTTTGTGAAGGTGATGAAATACAGCTGCCTAAACTGACACTGCTCTCTACTGACTGCTTTTAACAGCAGTTTTAGTACTGTGTGCAGTTCTGGTGTCCCCAACATAAGGAGGACATGGAGCTGTTGGAGTAAGTCCAGAGGAGGCCACGAGGATGATCAGGGGCTGGAGCACCTCCCGTATGAAGACAGGCTGAGAACATGGGGGCTGTTCAGCCTGGAGAAGAGAAGCTGCGTGGAGACCTCAGAGCAGCTTCCAGTGTCTGAAGGGGGCTACAAGGATGCCGGAGAGGGACTCTTCATCAGGGACTGTAGCGATAGGACAAGGGCTGATGGGTTCAAACTGAAACAGGGGAAGTTCAGGTTGGATCTAAGGAAGAAGTTCTTCCCTGTGAGGGTGCTGAGGCGCTGGCACAGGGTGCCCAGAGAAGCTGTGGCTGCCCCATCCCTGGCAGTGTTCAAGGCCAGGTTGGACACAAGGGCTTGGAGCAACCTGCTCTAGTGTGAGGTGTCCCTGGGAATGGCAGGGGCTGGAACTGGATGAGCTTTAAGGTCCTTTCTAACCCAAACCAGTCTGGGATTCTATGATATGTTATGAATTTACCATTAAGTCCTTGGCAGTGCTTTTCCTCTCTTTACTTCTTTGTGTTAGAGATCCTTGAAGCATGAAGTTTCTGTTGAACGTCCTGACAGTGGTAACTGGAGAACCATCTATTTTTTCACCTGGGAAAAAGACAAAAAAGGAGCTTTTTCATAAAGCAGATTGAAGCAGATGTAAAAATACTCCTGAAGAGACACACCTTCTAGAGAGATAAAACTTCCCCTAAGATGCACAAAGAAAGGTGGATTTAATTTAAATGAAAGCCATCAGGCTGTGATACTTCAAATTTATTAAAGTCTGAGGCCATGTCAATCAGTGGAATTACATAAGAACAAGACAAGGGTAATGCAAGGTGAAGCAGGCCCTAGAATTGTAAGATAATAGACTGTGGGGTTAAAAAAAAGATAAACCAAAACTCTTTGTTTTTTAATTAAATCTTTCCCCTCCTTTGCTGAACTGTCCATTATATTGAATCTTATGAAGAGAGAATCTCTTTCTTTACTGTATGTAACAACTGACGTGCACCTTTTATTGGTGGAGCTGGAAGTTTTCTCCTCTGCTGTCTTGATGTGTCTATTGTGTGCATCTGCAAACAACACATAAGCATTACTCCATGACAGAAAAAGAGGCAAGATTCCAATGTATTTTGGAATACTACAGAATGTTCTGGCACCTGGTTTGTTTGCTTTTGATCCCGTTTCCTTGTCAGGCGAACACATGGAGCCACGTTCAAGCCTGCAACTGTGAGAGCTGATATTCTGCTCTCAATATCTGTAATCTTCAGAGGAAATAAAAGAGACAGACAGATGGGGAGGGGGAAAAAGAAGTTTTAAAATTACTGTAGATGTCGCCACTAAAATATGTCCCATTCCCAGTCAAACCCTTTTTAATCAGAAAATACAAACAGATGGCTAACTTCAGCAATTCTGACACCTGCCTGTATTCTTCAGTCCTGATGTTAAAAGAGGCTTAATCTGTTAGTAAAGATGGAGTAAAAGAACAATCCAAACTACCTTGTAACTCCAAGGAAGAGGCATTTCACTCCTTTTGAGGAAAATAAGAGAGGAGGAAAGAAAACCTGCATCTGCCACCTCCCAGTTACCTTCAGCTGCCTAATCCCAAATTCATTCAAGCTGTGGTTTTCAATGGCTACATTCAATGAATAACTTTGTGGGACATATTTCCTAATTCAATAATAATTTCGTGCACACACAAAGTACATTCTCCATCACAAAATCAAAGCATTTGATCTTAAATGTCTGTAATTTAAGGGTATATGTATGTTAAACACAAATGAGCATAATGCAGGTACATACTATATGGAAACACTCAATAGAAAACAAACTGCTAGGGGAAAAAAGATTTCATGAAAGCAAACAGCTGAGGGAAAGTAGGCTGATGTTGAGACTAGTGGAAACATGTTGCCAAAAGGGAAAGCAGTGTCAGAGAATTCAAACATAAAACCCAGCTCCTGATTCACAATGACACCTGAAGCTGTTCACTCTGCAGAAGACCTTTCACTGGCCTGTCATCCTCCTTTATAGCTTAGGCCTCTCTTCTCCTCCTCTCTCACTTCCGTTCACTTATCTACCATAAAATAATGACCAAAGCCAACAAAACATCCCAGCCAGTCACCACCTAGCGCAGAAGCAATGCACTTGTGATATCAGAGAGATGCCAGACTCTCAGATCTTTGCTCAGTCCTGAACAGAGATACTCCTGCTGAGTGGAATGACCAGGTACTTCCCGAGAAAGCTTGGCACAGGTCAGAGAGCCTGGCATAGCGTGGTCATTGAGAGCACTGGCAGTGAGTTGCAAGCAGTGTTAACCTCTCAAGGTCTGGCAGCAATACTTCATTCAGCAATTAGCACCAGATCACGATGAGTTCTTCTGAGTCCCAGACTATGGGGAGCCTGCTAGAGAGATGCTAGATCACAGCCCACAGAGCACCTGCCTTTTGGCTGGGATGTGTGCTGCATAGAGGCTAAATCCCAAGTGCTAGGCTCTGTGCTTGGCTCAGGCGCTGGCTGTCCTTGGCCTTTCTTGTTAGAACTGCCAGGTGCTTCTTTTGGGAAGTGATTCTTTTGGGAAGTGATTTACAATCTGCTGATTAGATAAACTGCCTAAGACTGTGTCTGCAGCCTGACCACAGCTACACCGTGGGACATGGTGCACAGCATGTGAGCTACCTGGCGGCAAGGAGCAGGTTCAGCATTAGTGCTGCACTCCCAGGCTGCTGCACTCCCATGGCCAAAAACAGACAAGCGGAAGTGACAAATACAGTAGAATCATAGAACTAACCTGATTGGAAAAGATCTTTAATCTCATCAGGTCCAACCGTTGCCCAGCACTGCCAAGGTCACTACTGATCCATGTCACTTGAGGGCCTCATCTACATGGGGTGTGAACACTTGCAGGGACGGTGACTCCAGCACTGCCCTGGGCAGCCTGTTCCAATGCCTGAGCACCCTCTGGCCAAGTAATTGTTGTTCCTCATCTCCATCTAAACCTGCCCTGGTGCAGCTTGAGGCCGTTTCCTCTTGTCCTGTCCCTTGTTCCTTGGGAGCAGAGACCGACCCCACCTCACTGCAACCTCCTGTCAGGCAGTTGTAGGGAGAGATCAGGTCCCCCCTGAGCCTTCTCTTCTCCAGACTAACCCCCCAGGTCCCTCAGCCGTTCCTCATCACACTTGTGCTCCAGGCCCTGCACCAGCTCCGTTGCCCTTCTCTGGCCCCGCTCCAGCACCGCATTGTCTCTCTTGCAGTGAGGGGCCCAGAGCTGAACACAGGATTCAAGGTTCAGCCTCACCAGTGCCCAGCACAAAGCGACAATCACTGCCCTGGCCCAGACAGTATATCTGTTTGGGCTGAGTTACACATTTGAACTACACTTTGCTCAGCTCCTGTGATGCAGTCAGCATCCTTGGATCATCAGTCCACTGCAGGACAAAACCATATCAAAAGTAAGTGTGTGCAGACAATGGGGAAGCACGTGGGAAGGCAGCGTGACCCTGCAGATGGCTGGAGCTGCTGTCCTCACCTGAAGCTCTGCGTGATGAACCTGGGCAGCTGCTGTGGCCACTTGGTCTTCCAGATGGGCCAGCTCAGACTCTGCAGTGACACTGCTGATCTTGCGTGCAGCATCTTCCAGGCTGGTCAGCTGCCCCTCCAGCCCGTACACCGTGCTGGCTGTCAGGTATACCTGCAGGGCCAAGGCAAGGAGAGCGTCACTGATTTCTGTTCTAGGGGCATAAAGGTTTAAGAAGACTGCATCTTCCATGATACCTTTGAGCTTCCCTCCTTGCTAACCCATTAGAGGGAGACTTACCTGGCAGAGGAAAGCCATAGGGGAATAATCTGGATGCCAGAGAGAGACTCTTCATCAGGGGCTGTAGCGATAGGACAAAGGGTGATGGGTTCAAACTGAAACAGGGGAAGTTCAGGTTGGATCTAAGGAAGAAGTTCTTCCCTGTGAGGGTGCTGAGGCGCTGGCACAGGGTGCCCAGAGAAGCTGTGGCTGCCCCATCCCTGGCAGTGTTCAAGGCCAGGTTGGACACAGGGGCTTGGAGCAACCTGCTCTAGTGGAAGGTGTCCCTGCCCATGGCAGGGGGTTGGAACTGGATGAGTTTTAAGGTCCTTTCTAACCCAAACCAGTCTGGGATTCCATGATTCCAATCTGTAAGCACACATTCACAGGAGATGGCTGCCCTCAGATGTCACAGGTGCCACAATGGTATTCCAAACCAGATCTATTCCAGATTCACCAGCAAAAAATTGATATTCCAATTACATCACAACAACTCAAAGTCTACAAGTGAAGGTGTTGGATCACACCTCATATTAAGCTGTTTCATAATAAACACGTTTAGCTGTGAAACACGCCTAATGCCTTCTGGCAACCAAAACTCTAAGAATAGCTGTTCAGCAGCATATGGTTATTAACTTCTTGCAGATTAACTGTGTTTACACGTACAGCACAGTTTTCCATCTTCATTCTCACCCAAATATACAGCAGCCAAAAACTTCCTGCCTCCTGGCCCTTTGGAGTGAATCTTTGGAGGGTCAACAGACTTACATGTGCCATACAAGATCCACCTACAGTACCTCTGATAACTGCAGGTAAAGGTTTCGTTTCCCATTCAGCTCATCGGAGCACTAGTTCATGTTACACTGTGTTTTATGCGTTTCTTTTATTTCACAAAGAAATCTAAGGTACACACAGACAGATGGAGGTCTCTGCTTTATGGAAAAGGGTGATTTTCAAGCATCAGCTTTTGCTTAAAATTGTGCAGACCCATGGGAAAATACTGCTCCTTCTGCTTATTTGCTAGATAGCCAAGAGACTGTTCCCATGAGGCTGGTAACAGCACAGTGGAAAATAAATATATATCCTGATTTTTCCCATTAGCAGCCTCACTCACTCTAACAGCAATAAAGATTGTGTTGCTACAAGACTAGCATGAATTAAACATGGTTCAAGGGGCAGGCAAACTGAACCAGGTCCTTGAGCAGATCACTTCACATGCTTTCCACTCAAGTCATTGTATCTGCCCACAATTCCTAGATGATGCAGTACTTTGGTGTAACAAATATTCAAGTAATTCCTGGCCATGCTTTGACTTTGTGCATCAAAAGAGGTGGAGAATGGCTAGATTAAGATCTAAGTGTTTGTCTTTTATGATTTTTATTCCCCCTCCCTCCCGCTTCTTCTTGTGTCAGTTGTTTCAAGGCATAAATGTAGATACAAGCTTTTCATGTATGTGAAAGAAGTGGTGAATGCCCCATCCCTGGCAGTGCTCAAGGCCAGGTTGGACAGAGCCTTTGGTGACATGGTTTAGTGTGAGGTGTCCCTGCCCATGGCAGGGGGTTGGAACTGGATAATCTTAAGGTCTTTTCCAACCCAAACCAGTCTGGGATTCTATGTGACATTGCTAAGAAACGAATTCATTACATCCTGCACAAACTGCATCTTATAAGACCACAGTCTAACTGCAGGCATGAAATCTTTGAAAAAAGTGATCTGATTTAACACCTGTGCTGAAGGCACAAGTGGGCCATAAAGTTAACATGCTGATTTAAATAGAAACACTCCTGCTTTTGTGGGTTCTGATTATTCCTTCCATTCATTTAGATGATACATCTTTGTGGTGTGACATACCACAGCCCCTTCAGTTTTTAACATTGCCCTATCACAACTAAAAGCTCAGAGAAAGAAGAAAAAGGAACATTATGAACAGAAAAACCTTTAGAAAGTTAAAGAAAGGATGCATTTAAATGCTGTTCCAAAATTCTCTGCACAGTAAGTTGTACTTTTCAAGAGGGCGAAAAAACCGCTATAGAAAATAGAAATGATAGAAAAATGTGTGAAGGGAAAGTCATTATGCCCTTTTCACATTGACACTGTGGACACTTATTCTACCATCATTCAGGTATGCACATCTTACACCAGAACCTTGTGCTGATGGCTCCACAATCTCTGCATTGATGCACAGTCCCCGAAGTGCTACTGAGAGCAATAACGAACAACAAGTCTATCTATATACATCCAGATCCTCTTTGGATGGATTCCTGGATTTCTAAAGGCTCTTTACTATGGGGTGTGGTGGTGAAATCCTGAAACCATGGAGTTTTCCCATCTACTTCATATCCTGTGTGGGGCAGAGAAAGATGTAGTAGTGTAGATTCTGTCTGAAAATATTCTGGGTCTAAAGCAAAGCATGGTCTCTGTTATTGAAATTATCAAGATGTTATAATGGGCAGTCCAGATTTCTACGAAATCTTTAAGAGCTGCTAATGAAGGGACAAAAATCACTGCAATGTAACCAGTTAAATGGGGGAAGAGGGGAAAATGGAAGTTACAAGTGTACCAATTCCTTTATGTGGATGCATAGAAATTTCCAATGAGTGACTTCCCTCTATGATTCAGCATTGCACTTCTTCCTGCAGGTGACAGGGGCTCATGAAAAGGGATAGATGATTTGGATGTGGCCAAACGTTTGTTTAATTCTGCTTCTCCAGCCTGCTCTTTTTTAAGAGTGCAGCTCAATGCAGTAGGCTGGGGAGGTGTGGGTGAGAAGAGCTCCTCCTCTCCTCTGTATGACTGGGGACATGCTTTCCTACCTGTACTTACACTCATGAGGCTGTGCTGGGACTTGGGAGTGTGGTTTCAACCAGGCATGGTGCAGCCACACAGCCACAGAGGGTTGGAAGGCTTCAGGTAACTTGAGATAGAGATTCTAAAATTAGTTGTAAACCCCAAAGCATCCAATTCTTCCCAAATATTTTAAAGTACACATTAGGAAAAAACCCCAGTGAGACAGCTGAACACTCCTTTACAATAGGAAGTTTTTTTCTGTTCGTGTATTTGTTTAATTACCCAACATTAAGTGTGAACATCCACTGATGCTGCCAATGCATCATATAGCCACACACACACACACGTATCAGTGCACTTATTCACACATGGGACACTTTCACATACTGATCCATGCTCTTACGTTTTCTTCCAGTGTGGTGAGCTGCTCATCAAGCCTGATAGGGTCTGTCCCCAGTGGGAAGGTCCCTTTTCCCCTGTCCTGAATGTCGTCTGGGAAATCGCAGGGACCACTGGATTCTGCTATCAGTTCTTCAGTGGCATTGATGACTTTCAGGACTTCTGTGGATATGTTGCAGAGAGAGACAGCAGAGTACTTCTGTTTGGTTACAAGAGCAGACAGAGAAAACAACAGCATCACATTAGCACAGAGGGGTAGTATGTAAAATCACCTTGCTGCTTATAGCTGCGGCTTTAGCTGTGCTATAACAACATGCCTGGCTAACTGCTGTGAACAAACACAAGAACTGGGTAATGAAATCAAAATCTATGACTCTTTTTCTCCCTCCCTTCTCCACAGATGCACACTGCTACAGCATGCAAAATAACACACATGCAATTCGTCTACAACACAGTTTCTACTGGAGAGATGGTCCAAACCTTATCCCAAAGGAGCGAGCTAGATAAGGCTGTTTTTGCAACAGTGTTTTAAACAGGTTTTAAAACACAATCTTCCTTTTTGGGTACTGGCAAACAGATGTGGAATCATCTGTCTCCATATCCACAGGAGCTATCGCATGGCAGTGCAAAC